CGAGTGCAAAACCTAAACAGAACAGCTCCATTGCTCTGGCTACAGGCTCATTTTCCTTTTGAAAGACAAATCTCATTATAACAAAAACCTGTCCACAAATTCCAATTCCTTTGCTCCTCAGTTGTGCTCTCACCAGTGTGAGCACTGGAAGCTCTGGCCATTGAGGAAATGTGTGCCAGTCTCAGTGCTGGGGCTCGAGATTCTGTGGGCAGCCCATGGAAGGTGCCATCTCCAAGGAAAGATGTCAAGGGAAGGAGGTGGAGGGAGGCAAGAAAGAGGCATGAATGGGTTTTTCCAAATGGAAGCAGAAAACAAAAGCCATCTGCTTCCCAATTTCACCCAGAGCTTCCCGTGACTGTCTCGAGTGAAGTCAAATTTTTGTCTGGGAGAAGCTGCTGCTCCCCTGGACATCTGGATCTCGTCAGATGACAGAAAACTGTGTCATGTTTCTTCTGTTCCTCTGTTCCTCTGTGTGGGTGGGTGGCTCCTCCAGGACTGGAGTCCTTGTCCCGTTTTTAACAGTGACTGTCCTTACCTTCACAAAACTCCATTCAAACCTCTCACCTAAAACATTGGTAGTTTGAAAATGACGTGTTTTGGAGAACCATCATAAGAGAAGTGGGCTCCTGTCCTCACTCTGGCTTAATTCACGGCCGTGAGTGACCTCCTGAACCACTCTAGTCTCGTTCCTGCACCTGCAAATGAGTGGACTGGGGTTTTAGAATCCTATGACCTTGGTCCTTATATCCAAGACAAACAAAAGCCAGCCAATACCTAGAAAGTACCTAAGAGATGTGCACTTCAATGACAAGTCACACTAGAAAGATCTTGAACATAATGAAAACCTTTATTTACCTCATTTTTAACATCTCCAATAAATACTGCTCAGCTTCACAACATCATTTTCCTACACACCAGCCAAAAGCAACATCATAGCATGAAATTACTTCCTGAAACTTGGTAGAGGGATAACACTTCTGAAGATTTAAAAAAAAAAAACAAACAGGATGTTGTTGAGTAATAAAATTTGTGGAAGCTTGTATTATGCAATGGTTCACATTAGCATGGGTAATGATGGGACAGTGGTTTTCAGATGTGTTCCACAGAATCCCAAGAGTTGCTCGAGAGTAGACTCAGGCAAATGCTGTATTGTTTAATTTGTGATTCATAATTCCTGTCATTCATTCATTTACTCATTCATTTCCACACAGTTCTTTGAATGGGGTCTTCCTGCAAGCTAGGTGAGCAGAGGCATGTGTGAGACAAGACCATGGAACCTCTTCTTCTTAATGTCCTTACAGTCTGATGGCGGAGGCAGGCAAGTGGTCACTCCAATGAATTACAAACTGAGATAAGTTTCCAAAGGCAAGGAAACCAGTACTAAGAGAACTTATATGGACAGAACTTGACTTAGACTGGAGGCCAGGGAGATTTCCCTGAGAATTGTAACCACTACGACTGTTGGCGGGAGCTTTGAAAGATGAGTGGGAGGTTCGCTGGGATGTGCGTGGTGTGGTGGGGAGGGTGGATGGTTGGCGGCTGGGGAGTCTTTTAGACAAAGAAACAATATAAACATCATAATTTAGGAGTCCCGGTACAAAATGAATTTGTGAGACCCTTTGTTCAAACCGATGGTGAGAACAGAGCATTAAAGCAAGGATACGGTCCATCTGGACTCAGTCCCTTTAGCACAGGTCACATGGCCGCCCAAGAAGCAGGCCCTGGTCCTTTCCCTGGAAGGGAGTTTGCTGCTTAGGAGTTAGGAGGAAGGAAGAGGCCAGAGTGGTTGAAGCAGAGCCTGGGATGGTGGAATGAACAAGAGGCAAAGATCAGGCTCACGTGAGGATTACATCAGTGACCACGCTTCCGGGCTCTGTAAACCACTGGTCAAGAATATACATGGAGATTCACTTTTATTTCTCTATTTATATTGATTTGCATTGGTTATTCTGCATTTGGTATCTCCAAATGAATCCAAGCCTATAGAAATTGTTCAAGTAGGAAAAGACCAGGAAAAGCTGGTCTTCCGGCTTTCTTGGTGCCAGGTGCCCAAAATGATTGGTTGCCCAGAACTTCTCAGCTGAGCATGTGGAACGCACAGGTCATAGGCGCGACCTTGACTTCCTAGCAAAACACGCATTATTGAACGGGCTGCTGGCACCGGTCTTTGGCTTTCAAATTTAAAAGAATATGGAAACTTCAGTACTTACATTATTCCTTGAGTTCAGATCCTGGCTTTTCCACATACTAGTGCATGCTCTTAGTTGTTAAAATGTAAACTCATTCTTAAGATAAAGCAATACATCTTTATGCAAAACTTCTGACAATACCATCTGGTGAATCTTTTCAGGAATTTCCTAGGCATAGACAATGCATTTTTAAATTTTTTACATCAGCGGATTGCACGATAATATTCTTTTTACCTTTATTAATACCTCGTAAAATAGAACCACTTTCTTACGGGCTTCCTAGTATTTCGTTTGTGTGGATATACCATATTTATTGAGATAGTCCTGTCAACAAACATATAGGTTGCTGTCTGTTTGGGGTTCTCACAAGGCAATGGTTTACTAAGCATATTTCACACTTACACAAGATGGACAGCTGGAAAAATTCCTAGAAGTAAAGCCACTAGGTCCACCATTGTGGTCATTTCCAATGTTGACAAATATGACAGACTAAAATATTTAAGTGAGCCTTGATTTCCTCATGTCTGTAAATAGTGGACAATAATGGTTTTCTCAAAGCTGCCTATAAGGACTCAGTGAGATTAAGGCATGTGAGAGCCTACTATAGGGCAAGCAGGCTGTCAACAAACGTTGGTGTCTCCAACTTTCCTTTTACTTAGGAAAGACTATCAAGGAATGTTATGAAACCTATCGCTTCAGCCTGACCTCAGCAAAACAAACATTCACAGCTCTCTGTAGCGCCAAATCCTTTCAAACTCCATTGTTGAATGTAACTTATGAAATCTCTGGAGGTCAGAGAGACTATTTTCACGAGGACACAAATTTGACATTATCTCTAAATACTTCTTTTCTAGACTAAGGTTGATTTGATTTGATAGCTGCCTCTTTTAACATGTATCCCTGATAATAAAAACAAAATGTACTGGACTAATACACCAATTAAGATCTGTCTCCTGGGGTGCCGGGGTGGCTCTGTTGTTTGAGCAACTGCCTTTGGCTCAGGTCATGATCCTGGAGTCCCAAGATCGAGTCCCGCATCGGGCTCCCAGCTCCGTGGGGAGTCTGTTTCTCCCTCTGACCTTCTCACCTCTCATGCTCTCTCTCTCACTGTCTCTATCAAATAAATAAATAAAATCTTAAAAAAAAAAAAAAAAAAGATCTGTCTCCCGGTCATGTCTTTTGTCCTTGAGTGAAAATCTTGCCACTCAATTTGAATCATTCATTCATACATTTTGACAAAAAAGATGGAAATTTTTAGACCTCTCATTTGCACTTCAGGAAGCCTCTTGTGTCTCCCTCGAGCCTCGGGGACCCTGAGACAGTTTTTAATTTATCAAGAGTCCAGAAGGAGGTTAATGGGACATCTCAGAATGAAATCCCCACACGTCCCGGCCCAGAAGCTCCAGCTGGGATCACAGCCTGTGGTAACCTTGAAGTTGGAGACAGAAGCTCCTTGGAAGGTGTCACAAAAATATGGGAAGGCCGTGGGTGTGAGTTGTGTCTTTCCACAGTGTCTGCTTTATTCAGCCGCAAAGCAAGGTTGACATGATTGTAAAACAGGTTCAGGCTTCCAAACTCCGTGACATTTCACTACGCATTTAACTGGGCTTCATACACGTCGCACGAGACAAGCTATAATACAAAGTCACACCACAAACAAGATACCAGAAAGGCAAGAAGTTAGTGAACCAAAGCGAAGTCAGTCGCTGGGCACCACGGAGGGGAGGCCTCTGCCTGGTCCGGGTCAGCCCTCCGTGCTCGCGCTGGCTGTGTTCACACCGCGGGGGATCTCCGTTCTGCTCAGAGACCCAGCAGGCAGAGCCTTCCGGAGCAGCGGCCTCTCCCGCGGGGTCAGAGGGGGAAGGTCAGCGGCCGGAGCTTCCGACAGTTCGCGGCACAGGTCCTCCCTTCTTGAAGGAGTTCGATCAGTCGTGGGCCTTTGCAGGCCTCTTCCGGTTCCAGTGATTATCAGCCCCGGGTTCTTCCAGGTGCTGTGGCCTCACTGATGGTCAGTCCTTGGTGCTACCGGTCTGTGCCGGTTGGGGTGAGAGCTGGGGTCAGCTGCGGGGCCCTTGGCGGCTTCCCTGATTAGCTCGGCCGCTTGACACGAGTGACTCCATCTTGTTCTCTCCTCAGGGCCGGCGGGATCGGGAAGCCATTGCTCCCCTCCGCTCCGGCTGTTGATTTAGCACTCGGTTTACTCAGCGGGGAGAACAACCCGCCCAACAGCGGTCCCCGCCGGAGCAGAGGTCCCCCGCGGGCGACTCGGGCCCTGCCAGGGGGGCGCGTAGTTATTACTGATCTTGGAGCACCGGGCACAAGAAACTTCAGCCGCCGCCCACCGCGCTGTCTGCGAGACCCCGTCGGGCCGGTCCTTCAGGCGGGGGGACGCAGGCGAGTCCTCAGGCCCTTGAAGTTTTCCCGCGGGCAGCCACGCGGGGCGCCGACCCGGCCCGGCCGCCTCCCGGGACGCGGCGGGCGCCGGAACAAAGGGCGCCCGGCGGCGGCGGCGACGACGGCGGCGGCGGCGCGGGCCGGGGCGGCGGCGCGGGGCGGGGGCGGAAAGTGGGAGAGGAGGCCGGGCCGGCCGAGGGCACCGGGCGCGCTTCCGCCGGCCGCGCCGCGCACGCCGCGGTAAATGGGAGGCTCGGCCGGCAGGGGCGGGAGCCGCACAGCCGGGGAGTTTCAGGAACTGGAGGAGCGGGCGGCGGCCGAAGTCGCCGAGCGCCCAGCGGCGGGGCCTGAGCGCCGAGACTCGGGGCCGAGGCGGAGCCACCGCCGCCGCCGCGCCGGGGCCCAGCCGTAGCCGCCGCCGCCCTCGCCCGCCTGGGGCCGACAGCCGCGGCGCCGGAGAGGAGCCGGTCGTCCCGGGCCGCGGGAGCCGCCCGCCATGGCCACCAAGGTGAGGGGCGCGCGGCGCAGGCCCGGTCGGCCGCTCGGGCCCGCAGCGGCGCGGGGAGGGTCGGGGCCGGGGGCGCGGGCGGCGGCGGCGGGGCCCAGCGACAGTCCGCCGGACCGGTCACGCGGGGCTGGGCGCTCGGGGGCTCGGCTCGCGGCGCGGGAGGGTCTCGGGTGGGACCCCCGGACGCCCGCGGCGCCGTCTGCGAAGTTTGCGCCGGAGCGCGGGCTGCGGCCGGGCGGGAGCAAGGGAAAGTTCCCGCAGCCCGGGAGCCCGCTCCGGGCAGCCGCCCGGCCCTCGGGATCCCCGGGTCCTGCCGCGAGTGGCGGCCACTGCCCGCCGCCGCCGCCGCCGCGGGGAGCGCCCCTCCCTCCGCCGGAGGGTGGGACCCCGGCCGCGCCGGCCGCTTTTGGGGGGACCCGAGCCCCGCCGGGGAGCACGGGGCATTTCACAGGACGGCCCGCGGGCTCGCGCTCCCGCTGGAGGGACGAGGCGGACTGAACGCCCCGCGTCTCCACTTCCTTCATTTTTCTTGTGTTTTTCTTTTTTTGTTTTGCTACCTTTTCGGTTTGAATGGCATTTCCAGCGTGAAGAAAATACAAAGAGGGAAATGACTGTGCTTTCAGTAACGAGTTCGCTTGAAAAAAGGCACAGGCCCCGGTTACGTGGTGGAACTTTGACTCGAGCTTGGTAATTGGCCAGAAGTGGTGGTTTGCTGCTTTTAGGGTATTGTTCGGGGCCGGAGCGGTCACCCTTTGCTACCTGAGCGTCCAGGAGTCACCCTCCACGCCTGCCTTTCCTGGGGCGTTTTCTTTAGTTCTTCCTGCAAAGTGGTAACTGGGAAAGTCACAGTCGCCGAGGACTCCTAGTGGGAGACCCCTCCTAGAGCTAGCCATGTGGTTTGAGGAATGGCTTGACTTTAGCAAATAGTTTCTGTGATGTCGCCTTTTTTTCAGCGCCGGCACCCTCTTCCATCTTTATGTTTGAAATCTCTGAGCCTTTGGGTTGGGTAAAACCTTATTTGTTGTTGTTATTGTTGTTGTTGTTGGGTTTTTGTTTTGGGATCCGGGGTAATTTAGGAAGGGATATACAGTTTGAAATCCCTTTGAAAGATCAGATTGTCTTATGTTATTTCAGCCTGTTACAGTTTGTGCTTCTGAATCTGCCAAGGTGCAGTGTTTGGTTTTTTTTTAAATGGAGATTTTCCTCCAGGGAACCTGTCGTCTGCTCTTACAGAAATAATTACCTGCTTATTAATACATTAATGGCTGTGCTCTTCCTTGGTTTCGTTAGATGTGGTCCACCCTTTTTAACCTAGATAATTTTGTGTTGATCTTTTTTTAAAAACAAAACTGGAGTCAAGGATCTCTAAGGAAATCTGATTTTGAGGTTTGTTGCCAAACATCCCAGAAATGACCAATTACACGTCCTGTTTTGCACTCATCTTGCAACCTTAAAAGCTGTTCGGGGTAGATGTGTGTTCAGTGGAGGTCAGTGTTGTGGTGTTTTGCACTCTGATCTCAGGGCTGGTACTGGGCCCATTCAGTAGGGCTAGCGTTAGGGTTAGCCGCGAGTGAGGTACGCATAATGAAAACTTGATAGTTAAAACTGAACTTAGTTTTTCTGTAAAGGTGAAAAGAACAGTGATCCTTGTACTAAACTTGAATTGCATGTGTCCTCCCTAAACCAAGCCTTAAAGCACGTGTCAGCCCTTCCTACCTTATTACCTACGCCACTCTGGAGGTAAATTCCTGTGATTCCAAGTCTGTTTCCTTTCTAATCACTCTGCCCCATGGGATTCATCTCCACATTCACAGGATGGCAAGCCACTTCCAACTTAAAAAGCAAAGGAAGAGCAGAGAAGCACGTGTTAAAAGAGGACCCTAACTCCGATTTCTGGTCTTCCTACTTCCTGGTGATCCTTGTGTCAAACCAGTCTCTCTCTCTCTCTTTTTTCCCCATTGTTACCGGGGAGGAGAGTTGTCCTTGTTTTCCTCCCCCCTGCAACCACACCCCTGCCTTTGCTGACATCTGAGTAGTTCGGGGTTTTTCCTTTCCTTGCTTTAGTTGGGTCGGTGGTGAGAACGCACTCGGTAATAACTTCTAACTTTTTATGAAATTTCAGCTTTCTGTGGCACTTGAACTCTGGCTGCAAGCCTCAAGTGATGAAAAACAAACACAGTATCTGGCTGGGTTGGGTGGTGTGAGTTTCCCTTTGAATTTACCAGAGAATGGCCTCTGTTCTTTCCAGAACTAATATTCTTATGTATTGCTCTGATTTATTTTTTACAGATGCAGTTATCTTTGAACTGTCGTGAATTTTAAAATCTGGCATGTTCACAATGGAAAGAAATTATCTTTTAGAAAAAAAACTTTAATTGGGCAGTTCTTCTCTGCCAAAGAAAGTTAATCAGTAACCGCACATTTTAAAGGGATTATCTTCTTTTTTTCTAATCGCTACTCAGGAGGATGCTGAATTCAGTTGTAAGCAGGTACTTTATTCTGACTCCAATCTTATCTCCCTTAACAAATGCGGTGCGGGGCTGATATTAGCCTGTGAAGTCTTGGCTTCTACTGAAAACCTCGGAAGGTTGTATTTTAATCACAATCCCATGTGGATTTGGGAGTAAATTAAGTCTTATTTATTAAATCTTGGGAAAGAAAAAAAAATTTTTGGCCCACATATATCAAAAGGAGCATGAAAATAGTTAATGGAAGTTAATCCATGGCTGTATAATTTAGCTGTAATTTCCATGTCAGAGTTAACCTTTGGTAACTAAGTTGGTTCCTTTTGTGCTTACATAGTCACTTTCAGGAGTAATCATTTTAACAAGACTCTGGGAGTCCTGGATACACTTTTTTTCTTTTCTTTCTATCTCCAGCATCTGAAGTGAAATATTTGTGGTAGTGCTTGGTTGAATTGAGTGGATGTGGAGTATTGAAAATACTGGTAGGAAACGAGTGAATTGCTCAGGTCTGTTCAATGATATACATTAGTGAGAACAGTAAAAAGCATCTTTTATAGTCTCTCCTGAGCAAAAACCTCTTTATTTGAGTGACAGAATAGAATTCTTTCTATTCAAATCTAATGTTAAGCCTTAAGGATTAATGGTGGATTTGATCGTTTTTTAAAAACACTGTAGAAAATGCTAACTATTTAATTTTGTATAAAAGTAAGTTTTAAATGTCCCCACTGTGCAGGGAGCCCGATGTGGGGCTCAGTCCCAGGACCTTGAGATCATGACCTGAGCTGAAGACACACCTTTAACCGACTGAGACACCCAGGCGCCCGTAATCTTGTGTTAGCAAACTTTTCCTTTTTAGGTATACATGCACAATGGAAAGTACACATCTATAGTTCAGGTATTAGAAATCTTTTTAAAATCTAACAATTCGGTTTTACTAATGAGGAATTGGTTCTTCTGTTTTCAGATACTTAAAACAGACCTCATACTTCTGAGACTGTAACCCCTGGTGGTTAGAAGTGTGTTTGATTTCCAAAAGTAGAGGGTGTTCCTATTTGTCTTTTTGTTAATGATTTCTAACTTAATTGCATAGTGAACAGGGAATCTGATTGATAGTCATACTATAACTAAAAATTTGTTGAGGCTAACTTTGTACCTGTCCTATGGTCTCCTTCATAAATGTGCCACCTGTTCTAAAAAGAATATGTATATCCACTACTCAATGTGTGTGTTCTGTGTATGACCATTAGATTGGATTTATTGACTGTGTTGTTCATATCTGTATCCTTACAAACTACATGCTCTGTTGTATCTAGCTGATCTTTTGTCTACTTGATGGAGATGTTAATTAAGATGGTGTTCTAAAAAAATCTCTAAGTTTAGGGTGCTAGTGCCCCTGGTTGGCTCAGTCCATTACGTGTCTGCCCTCAGCTCAGGTCATGATACCAAGGTCCTGGGATCAAGCCCTGCATCAGGCTCCCAGCTCAGTGGGGAGCCTGCTTCTCCCTCTCCCTCTCTCTCTCCCTCTCCCATTGCACCCACTCGTGCTCTCCCTCTCAAATAAATAAAATCTTCAAAAAATATTTCTCTAAGTTTCAAAGTAGTATCATCTTCCAGGTGAATTGAGTTTTTTTCAGTGTGTAGGGACCCTCTTTATCTTCAGTGTGTTTTTTCCTAAGGACAGTTTGTCTAAAGTTAATGTGGTTTCACTAGCTTTCTTTCTTTTTTTTTTTTTTTTTAACATTTTTTATTTATTTATTTGACAGACAGAGATCACAAGTAGGCAGAGAGGCAGGCAGAGAGAGAGGAAGGGAAGCAGGTTCCCCGCTGAGCAGAGAGCCCGATGTGGGGCTTGATCCCAGGACCCTGAGATCATGACCTGAGCGGAAGGCAGAGGCTTTAACCCAGTGAGCCACCCAGGCGCCCCTCACTAGCTTTCTTTTGGTAAGTATTTGCCTGGTATGTAAGAGCCTATGGCTGAATTTAACCTCTGTAGCTGGTCCGGTGACCTTTGTGACTAGAGAGTTTTGTCTGCTTTTACTTGTGTTCACTGATGTGTTTGGGTTTCTGGCTACCATCTTCTGGACTAAAAGAGGATTTTTTTCCCTCTTCCTTTTATTCTACCCGTCCCCTCCCCAGCTGTTTGGAAGATTTGTCCTATATACCAGTTTTTTTCCAGTGGTTATCATAAGCATGTATGTTACCATTTCTAAGTTAAAGTTCGAAGTTACTCACCATCATTACCCTCCTTCTGTATTACAAAAAGGTCTTCAGATACGTAACTCTGATCATGTGTCCCAGTATGGTCAGTTACTGCCAGTACTAGAATTCTGTCTTTTCCCTCAGAAATTAGACATTCTTTTCATTTTTTTATAGAGCTAATGTTTATTTAGATTTAATTGGATTTTACCATATCTTTGCTTATTATTTCTGTTTACATTCCAGTCCTCCTTTCTGGGATAATACTCCTTCTGGTTAAAGTGGATTCTTTGGAATTTCCATTGGGGAAGATTTGTTGTTGGTAATCTTTTGTGTGTG